TCAGTTTGCCCGATTGCTCACCTCCTCGCCGCCGGTGCACTCCTCGATGCCATCGGCAAGTCTCCAGCTCCACTCGTCCTCGCCGGCAACGGCGACGCTCATCAACGACCCATCGCGCATGACCGCCCTATCTACTCGCCACATCCACTCACGGCCCTACTCCTTGACGTCGACAACAACTTCCTTACTCGTGGTGATCCATTCCCGTTGGAGACGGCCATGTTCGTCGGCGCCCAAGTTCAGGCACCACCCAGTTGCTTGTCGCCGTTGGCGTGAAGGAGCTAGGTGTGGGCAGAGGAGGATATGTTGGAGAGACTACTGATTGCAGAGCCTCGCCGTCGTTGGCGGACTGCACCGTCGCTGGCAAGATGTAAAGAGAATCGAGATGGGACGGTCATTTTGAACGTGGGAATCAGAGTTGGCTGGAAGTCGGAAACGATAGGAAGAAGAGCTGCTGCTTTGAGATTCGCTTTTAACAATTGTCATGTGCGGAGGTGGGTCTTCCGTTTATTCCCGTACGATCTGGTCGTATAGGATTTTTTTTCCGTCTTAATGGTTGGGCACAACAACCAGGGGTGGCTCCAGGGCCCAGGGAGCCAGGGCCTTGGCCTATATTGTAGCAAAAACGGCATCGTAGCTTACTGTAGTTACACTACTTGCCTGGGAAGTAGGCTGAACCTAGCTCCACTACTGACAACAACAACGGCGCTTGTGTGTCATTACCCTCTTGGGGGCATCGTTGTTGGAGCACTATTAATTTCGTGTCATCGCGAAAAATAATTGATGGATGTTGTTGTTGTTTGCTGCTACTCTCTTGAATAGCTCTTGAGATCCTGTTGGTGCAGATGCCATGTGTACTTGTCTAATTGATATATTTTTGACTAGTGTATTCTCTTTATCGAAGAAAAGTGATAAACCAAGAGTGAAAATTCACAAAAAGGTCACATAAACAATATTATACGCTAAGAATTCTGAAAGGGATTGGTGAGATGAAATTAGGCCGTGTCATCATGTTAGAAATTCCTGGAAATGCTTTCACAAAAGAAATTTCCTGGAAATGGATAATGGCTGCTGACTTGCAGAGTTGCAAATGGCCGCCGAAAACTGTGAAGAGCTTTCTCGTGCCTTCTCCAGTACCCACGCTGACATATACTCCTACCTGGCAGTATCCGGCCGCAGCTAAGCACGTACGCCAGGGAGCTTGCACAACAGCACAAGACGTGGACATTTCCGTAGGCTTTCTTCTCTCCTCCATTCTCGTCAGCATGCACGTCCTTGTCCTGCTCCGTCGACCGCACGGAGACGAAAATAATAACCATACATCGATGGCTGTCTTCGAGAAAAACATCGATGGATCCCTTGTACCAAGTGAGGAAGAAACACACTGCTTTCTTAATTATTGTACAGAGAGAAAAACCCGTCCAAATCATTGATCTTCTCTTCTCTTTGTGAAATCAAGAACCTGCAGAATGCAGAAATATGTGCCTTGTTTCGGTTGGCTGAGCGGAGAAGATAAACAAGCAACTGTAGCTTGGTCGTCCCGTCCGGATTAAAAAGCGGGTCTCGTCGAAGCTACGGCTTGTACAGACGGCGTGGCTCGCGTGGTGCAGCCGTGCAGGTCTGCTGGATCGAGGTCCCGCCATCAAACGAAAGTGCGCCCAAGGTTTAAGCTAAACTCGCAGGAAACAGACCAGATGGAGGTGCGTTTGGGTCCGGGTCAAGTACGTATGGGTCGCTCTCCGTCGGGCCACAGGTCGGTCTCAGGTTGTACGCGGGTTCGCTCGCGTGCGCCGGACAAAAGCAGAGCACATGAGATGATGCGGCTCTAATCATCCACGGCCGCCTGCCCCTCTCCATAAGAGCATCTCCAACAGAAGCGCTATATAAACGACGCGCGGTATAAAAACTGCTTTTAGCGCGCGCGGACCTGGGGTGAAGTCTCCAGCGGCCGCACAGAAAACGCGCGCGGGCTATAACTAATGCAGCGCGCGCATCAAAAAGGCATCGCGCGCAGCATATTTAGTGCGCCCGGTCGCGCGCGTTGCAAACTCTGGGCTGCTGCAGATGGGACCGCTTGATTGGGGCCGTTGAACTCACGCGCGCAGTATATTTTACAGCGCTTGTTGGAGTAAACGTCTTCTAGCGCCCTAAAAAAACTACTTGCACGTTGTAAACCCGTTTTTTAGGCGCCATGCATTGAGCGGCTGTTAGAGATGCTCTAAGTCCATACACACTGCACGCCACAGCCGAAAAGACCCACTCAGTCGCGTACATACAGCTAGTGTGCGATGCACCACCGCCAGATGATGGGCGGCTGGCCCCGTAAACAAGGTTATCCCAGCCCAACATAACATGCACCATCGCCATGCCTGCCTTTCTTTGCGCTCCCTCCCTCCATGCTGTCTAAGCTTCCATGTTATCACTTTCTGTGGGTCATGATCAGCTTGCGCCTTTTCCAGAATTACAGTAGCAGCAAACCGATCGATCAGCTGAGCTCATGTAACTTGTTTTCTGTGAGTCCATCCTGCTTGCCGCGTTGGCGCACGTACGTACGCAGTGCCGATTGGTCCGGTTTAAAAATATGCCTGCACGTGGGGAGGCGTTCAACGCTAGCATTACACGTCACGAAATCGTAAATCCAGGTGGCTGGTAATACGTAGTACGTGTCCAGCTCGCGTCCTCGGGGACTTTGTAGCACGGCGCTCTTGTGGATTTGTTTACCGTCAACGGCGTTCTTGATCCAGTCCAATCAGTGCCACGACGACGGATTTGCTCATTCGTCTTCGTCTTCTACTTATTTTATCTTGGTGCGTGAGTAAACAAACGAAGGAGGAGGGCCATGGCCAGGTGTTGACATGCGCTCGCGTCACCCCTAGATCAGCCTACTCTCACGCGTGCAATCAGTGAGTTTTAATTATAAATTCTCAAAAAAGTGAGTTTTAATTATAATAAGGATTGATGACAGTCAACTTGGTGATCAGTGTAGTCAATTGCCACTGGAGAAACGCATCGCCTAGTGCTCGGACTTGTTTGTTGTTGGCGAGCCTTTTCTCGGGCACATCGGAACATGTTGCCGAGTGCTCCAATCTTGTAATCCACGCCCATGATTGCCAGTAGTAGGAGGAATGAACTGATCGATACTGATTTCAGGACGACGCATCCATCAATTCATTCCACTACACTTGCTCTGTTTACACGATGATGCAACTAAAGTTTTCAACACTACACGAATGGCCATCCGACAATCTTTCAGCTAAGCTAGCTCGGGCTTTCAGTTGCTGCTGGCTGTGCCTATCACCAAGAGGCGACGTGACATTTCCTGTGACATCTCGTTTAGGATAGTACACTAGCACTTTGAATGAATGCTCGATCGACCCGTGCCGTTGGAAATCGGGATTGATTGACGAGACGCGTATCCGTGCTCGCCCGCCTGATCTCTAACCTCGCACCTACCGGCAACTTTCACATGGCTGTTATGACCTGCGAGCCATTGCTGAGCCGGGAGCAAGTTTAAATGCGAGCGGGTAGCAGGTCCCTCTGGGCTGCAGTAATGCATTACTGCAGCCTCAACTCTGAAGTCTGAAGTCTTGTGGGTGCAGTTGTTAGTCCACAACCATTGAGGCGAGTCGTGTGGATTTCAGGCCTCCATGCCGCATCATGTGGATTGCATGGATGAAACGCCACCTTCAGATCAAGTGTTCTTGTCAGTCCACAACCATTGAGGCGAGTCGCGTGCACTCCAGGACCAAAAAGAAATAGTCCTAGCTGAATTCAGATTTCAGTTGCAACTGCAAAACTGTTTTTTTTTAGACAACCTCACAAAGCTTTTATTAATTCGTCACAATGTTTATGGGGACAGACGGAAGGTCTCCAGGGTGTCCCAACCATACATGGCGGCTACCCCGAGAGATAAAGCATGCTTCGCTAAGTTGTGGGCTTCAAAATTTGAGCTCCTAAATTCATGGCTAAATTTACATAAATCAATATCCGACGAGTGGTGTATTATTTCGTGTATGATAGCTCCATAAGCAGATGAGTTTTCCTTCTTCAAGTCTTCCACCACCACTTTGCAATTAGCGGCCACATGAATCCTCCGCCGGTAAAGATCATCTGATAGTGCGGAGCCTCTCTGATTGCAAGTGCTTCGAGAGTTTGTGGATCTGTAATATACCTGAAGACAAGCACCGATGCTCTCAAGAAAATCCCTCCAGAGCTTCTGCAGATCGCCCTGACCGCACCACAGCTGGCATGTCTCGGAACCGCAGCATCCACATTTACCTTCACGCAACCCACTTCCGGTGCCTGCCACTTGTTCGGTCTAGGTATTACAACACCAGCAGGTTTTGTAGCTTTGTTGTTGACAACCTGAATCTCGCCAAAACTGGTGTCACCAACACGCAAGCTCCGCATTTCTCTTTCAAGGCCCTGTTTGTTTGGGTTGTGGTTTGGTCGCTTGCGGGCTCACAAGATAGTGTAACGAACTGTGAGCTCGCCTGAAAGGAAATACCGCTCAAAAAAAGGAGAGGAAATTCTCTGAAGCAGCGATCCAGCAGAAGGAAACATGGTTGATCTAAAAAAACAGCAGAAAGAAACATTGGCTTATGCTGTTATGCAGAATTACATTCCAATCATGTTGCCCAGCAACATCTATCACTTCAAACATATGTTACGGAAACAGTTGAAATATAAGCAATGTTTATGCCCTACATCCAACAGCTTAATAGCTAAAGGTGAAACAAAAGCAAGATCAAAGCAAAAGCAGCCAAACCTTATACTAGCTGCATTTCAGAATGAATTCCAGCAAATTCACAGATAAGAGATGCAAGGCCACATTTTAACTCAAGTTCAACACTTGTATGTAAATATCATCGCCCCACAGGTTCAATCCAGCATTCTAGATCATTACAACATATCACAAGTTCACAATAACCGCTCCAGCCAATGGAAACTATTTTTTCGCGCTTCAGAATGCTCCTATGTAGATGAAGAAAGATGGCATCCTAACAACCTTCTTCAACTGGCCCTTCAGAGTTGCTGGAGCCAGGTTCCTCCATGGTGGTGTCCTTGCTGAGCGCATCTTTCAAATTTCTCTCTTCTTCGGCTGGTTGAGAACTGGTCGCTGGAGCTTCAAATGGCATCAAGCTAATAGCTATTGCCGCCTTCAGGTCGTCATCACCCTCCTCTTGCATCATAGTCATGTCCTTTTCTTCGTAAGGTTGCTGACGAGGTACTTCAGTCTTGGTGCCTGGAACTTCAAGGCCCCTCAAGCCAGCGGCTACCCCCACTGTGAGATACCTCCTCGAGGCCATCACTATAGCAGTGTTGCTCTGTTGTTTCTGCTGAGCCTTGAAGCGTGAATGTGTAATGATCTTGGCTTCCTCAGGACGCAGCCACTGGCCAAAATCGTTGTTATCAGAAGGGCAGTCCCTGGGGAAAGTGCCCCTTACCACATAGATGTTTGAGCCAGGACCCCTCATGTTGTCAAGGTAATCTGAGAGGAAAAACTGAGAGAGGTACTCAGGGGCCGGATACAGACTATCGAAGTTGTACCACTCCCCATCCACGTTCCTAATGCAGAACCAGTGATTCTGGAAGTGGCAGATGAAGGCAGTTTCCAGTTCAGGCTTGGATTGGGATCCCGCTGCAGCTTGGGAATACATGGGGATAAATTGGAGGTCCCATACCTCTAGTGCCCTCTTCAAAACCTATCAATGAAAAGAAACATAGGTTAATGAATCATGAAATGATGTGTAGTTATTCCAGGAAATGAGCAGAGCTAGCAAACATGTGAACTTGCATAATTCTGCTAGTTTACATCCTACCACCAGAGTAAAGAATGGATGCAACATTGCAATTGATGGAAGACATCACAAGTAACAAAGCTTATGAAAATGGAACACACAAACCAAAAGGAAGATAAGCAATAAACTTGGCAAATTTCTTTTAAAATAAAATAATAACAAGTGCCATCAGCTCTATATGGCCCCACAACCTGAGTTCATTAGTGCATACCTAAAAATTTGCTTACTGTTGAGTTATCTATACTTCAATAACTATGTACTTTCTAAACTAAAATAGTCTATTTATTCACAGATTTATATGCGGCTCTTCTTCTTTATTGCATCTACTGGTTTTGAGCCAACTTAAATTTGAATGAAAGAAATAGTGCAAAACTTCAAATTCCAAAGTTTTATGGCCTGTATTGATGATGCAAATCTATCCAAAATTTCCAAAACGTCTCATAAAATCACAAAATTACGATTTAGTTCGATAATACCTATTGTTGTGAAGTTCCTATAGTAATAACTTCCACAATAGCACTAACAGGTTTTACAAAGTCCCAAAATTTAACTGTACCATCTTTTATTAACAAAATCCCCCATACCACCTTCAGCTTATAGTAATCGGTGGATTGACCAAATTTGTAGTGGAAGTCCTTCCTAAGGTCAAAAGCAAAAACTAAAGTATGAAACAAATTTCAAATAACCCAAAGCTGTTATAACATATATGGTCCAAAGTAGTAACTTTTTTGTGAACTTCGCTTCTGTAAATGGAATATCACTTATCAATCATGATATGTGTACCTGTGTGGTACGTGCATATTAGTAAACACCAATAATGAACCATTACGAATTTGCGCCCACTGCCCTCATAAATTGAGATGGGCGACAATACATAAAGAGACCTACTTCATGGTGGTCCATTTTATTATTTTTCTCACAAGCATTTATGCAGAACCCCATTAACAATTACTTCCTTTTTTTAATTGATTAACAATTACTTCTAGAAAAGAAAAGAAAATCTAATATCAAAATTCGGACAAAATTAACCAACACGAATGGCGGCGGCGTTCTTTTTTTTAGTTAAATACTTCTGTTTAGAAAAGCCATCTTATAAGCTTATGTTCAGAAAACAATAATAGTTTTCTGGCTAGATATAAGTGCATGCAAGCTTATTGTTTGAGCCCCAAAAGGAAAATATTGTTTTACAGTTTTTCCTTTTCATACACAAGCTATACAATGTTATTTCGCGGGATAATTAGAAAAGCCATCTTACAAAATGTGCCTACACACTACAGACCTGATACACGAAAATGCCAAACGGAGACTGAGCTCCATGGAGGCCTTTATTTGAAAACTTCAAAATTCAAACTTTTCAGTTTCAAAAAATTCTGAAAATAAATACACATATACCTAGATACATAATGTACACGTGTGCAAATTTTTAGTTCGAAATACAATAAAATGTGAGCTACACAAAAAAGACAAATCTGAGGCTTTTTAGCATATGTACTGTTCATCTTTAAAGTCCATGATTTTGTTTTTTTGTGCAGCTCGCAATTCAAGGTATTTCATCCTAAAAATTTTCACACATACACTTTACATCCTTGCATACATGTCTAATTTTTTTCATAAATTTTTAAACCGAAATTTGTGAATTTTGAATTTTTCAAAATAAAGGGCTCCATGGAGCTCGGTCTCCAAAATGCCCTACTCCCTGATACAGTCCTACAACCCAGCGGTGGTATTCTTAAGTGAAACAAAAAAGAAAGTTCGAGAACTGGAAAAGTTGAAGTGGAGCTTGGGTTTCAGACATGGTGTTGCGGTGAGTTGTGTTGGAAGGAGTGGGGGACTAGCTTTGTTGTGGAGAGACAGCGTGCAGGTGACAGGGCATGGTGCCAGTACTACTTAGATGCGACTATTACTGTTCATGACAAAACCTATAGATTTACTGGAATCTATGGGGAACCATGTACTGAGCAGAGGATGAAAACTTGGGACGCGTTGTGATTTCTTAAAGCCCAAGATAATCTACCATGGCTGTGTGCGGGGGGCTTTAACGAGGTGTTATTCCAAGCAGAACAAAAAGGTGGGAATCCGAGAAGTTACGCAGATGGAAGCTTTCAGGGAATGCTTGGCCGACTGTGGCCTCGCGGACCTCGGTTTCTCGGGATACCCATTCACTTGGGACAGTAAAAGAGATGCCGACGAGAACATACAAGTTAGGCTGGACCGTGCAACATGCAATGATGATTTTATTCAGATGTTCCCGGAGACTATTGTTGATCACATTCTTACAGAGGAATCTGACCATGTTGCCCTTGTTATCCGTGCCCTTGTGACACCGGTCACAGGTAGCAGTAGGATGCACATGGGGTTTCGCTTTGAGGAAGCCTGGACTAGGCATGAATTGTATGATGGCATGGTCATGGATGCATGGTATGCAGCCGACCATGGACAGAGTGGGCTACAAGCGGTGTGCACAAAGCTGGATGCAGTTACCAGGGACATGCAGAGATGGAGTAGAAACGTTTTTGGCTCAATAAAAAAGTAATTCGGGAAACTGAAAGGCCAGCTACGTGACGCCAAGGAACGGTTTTTATTCAGAACCGTTACACAGGTTACATGCAGGAGATTAAGGACATCGAGGGGCACTCCATGATCTGTTTGAGCGCGAGGAGATATACTACAAGCAACGGTCCAGAATAGATTGGCTACAATGGGGTGATCAAAATACACAATATTTTCAGAACAGAGCCTCGCACAGGAAAAGGAAGAACACAGTTAAAGCGCTAATAAAGGAGGATGGCTCTCGTTGCACTACTGATGATGAGATGCGAGTGCTGGCAGTTTTTTATAAGAGTTTGTTCTCGCCAGAGGGGTCGGAGGAGACAGAGAAGTTGCTGCAGCATATTGACAGTGTGGACCCAGAAGAGATGAACTCATGGCTGACAGCAGTCATGACAGACAAGGAAATCGAGGAGGCATTGTTTCAGATGGGGCCAACAAAAGCTCCAGGTCCGGATGGACTGCCAGCGATGTTTTACCAACGCCACTGGGTGAAGGTTTTTCTGCGTTACTGAAGCATGCTCAGAGTAGAAATGACATTAAGGGGGTTTCCTTTGGGAGCACTGGCCCCACGGTAACCCACCTTTTATTTGCTGACGATAGTGTGCCTTTCCTTGCGGCATCCCAGGGTAATTTGCAGGCCTTGCGAACTATTCTACAGGACTATGAGGTGGCGTTGGGTCAGAAAGTTAATTTGCAAAAATCTATCTATTTTCTTCGGAAAAGGCTGCATGGAAGAGGACAAAGATGCTCTCAATGGTGTTCTAGGTATCGGGTCAGAAGCACTCAATGAGCGACATCTTGGCCTTCCCACAGTGGTGGGGAGATCAAAGGATGGAACCTTCAAACATGTTCGAGAGTGTTCCAGTGGGAAAGTTGTTGGATGGAAATGTTAGGGTTTCTCAAAGGCTGCGAAAGAGGTACTTGTTAAATCTGTCTCACAATCAATACCGACGTATACCATGAGTTGCTTTCACCTCACAAAGAAAATGTGCCGGAACCTGTCTTCGATCTCTTCGAACTTCTGATGGGGTGAAGCCAATGATGAAAAGAGGGTGCACTGGATTGCATGGGACAAAATGTGTACTCGCAAGCAAGAGGGGGGCCTAGGTTTTCGGGACAGGGAGGCTTTTAACCAAGTGTCTCTGTTCAGGGTAACTCTTGGGACCGGACTAAGCTAGAGGCTACGTTCAAGACAGATGATATTGATGATATTCTGCAGATTAATATTGCGGGACAACCGGACAAGGTGTTGATGATCACTTGGTGTGGAACTATACAAAGAGTGGCGAGTTCATGGTTAGGTCAGCCTACCATTTGTGCATTCAACAGAAGAAGGCAAAGATTGGGAGGCCGGAACCATCGTCCAGAGTCTTTAGCCACAAAGGATGGCTAGGCCTTTGGGACTCCATTGCACCAAATAAGGCTAAAATCCATATGTGGAGACTACTGTGCAACGGGCTAGCGGTTGGTGCTGAACTACATCGTCATCGGATTAAGGCAGGAGTATTTTGTGTAGCTTGTGGAAGGGAAGAAACACTCCATCATAGATTTTGGTCTTGCCCTCACTCAGCTATGTTCTGGGGGTATATGTGCTCGGAATTGGGAGCTACAGTGGCGACCCCGCCGAACTGTTTTGATTCCCAGAGTGTTGTATCTACGTAGCTGCTGTCTTAGTTCGCGGAACCTTCGGACGACGCTAGAGGAACAATTGTTCAAGGAGTCTGTGAGGTGGCTCACAAGGAATGAAACACGGGAGGGAAAGAGAATTGAAGAAGCGCAAGCTATTGCTAAATCGGTGATCCACTACATGCAGGAATGGCAGTCGGTGAAGGGCAGTTCAACTCGAACGCCAAAGCAGGTGGTTGTCGAGAAGTGGATGGTGCCGGAGCAGGGGTGGATGAAAGCCAATATCGATGGAGCTACATCCAAGGTTGGTGATAGTGCAGGTGGAGTGATGTTCAGAGACCACCATGGTGCATTCCGTAGGGGTGCCTGCTACTTCTTTCCATCGATCAGCAATCCGGAGACTGCTGAGCTCCTTGGTTGCCAGCGAACTGCCCATCTTGCAGTCGAGCTGGGTGTCCAGAAGATTCATATGGAGCTAGACTGTAAGTCTGTTGTGGCAATGTTAAACGAGATGAGAAAAAATCTATCTGCTGCTGGCCCGGTTGTGGAGGAAATAAAAGGTTTGCTGCGTTCGTGCCGGGATTCCCGAGTAACCTGGGTTAGGCTGACAGCCAATGCTGCCGCCCATTTGTTAGCTAGAGAGGGGGTGAGTAATAGTTTAGTTTATGTAATGTGTGCCTAACACCCCACCAGACATGGGCGGAGCCAGGGGCATTCCTTGGTATTCCATGGAATACCAATGATTTAGGGCAACAAAAAATTTAGATATACCGAAGCCTACAGCTACAGGATACTTGTCCAGCCCACGCAACAGCCAGCAACCACAAGCCCAGCCCAAGCAAGTGACGTAACAGGGAGTCCTCAACTGATCAGTGGGAGGAGCAGGATCCAGACTCCAGTACGCTCTCCCCTGCTCGGCTGCTCCCGACCTAGCTAGCATACTGCATGCAGCTGTGTATTGTTCAATTTCAAAATTAAACAAACCCAAGAAATTCTTTATTGGCAAGAACAAAACTCCAAAAGTGCTATTGAATGCAACCACTTGGAGCTATGCTGGATAGTTCACTGCCAGGCTTTGCACATGTCTACATTAGCAACTGATTACTACTTTGTTTGATGAAATGCTCGAACAAATCTGATTTTTTTTCTTGCGTTCTTGTAATATAAGAATCTGCATCATTTCAGACATCTAGTTTGTTTTCTATTGCATTGGGGAAAAAATCTAGCTCGGCCGCTTTATATTGCATTGAAAAAAAGGCAACATTGACAGTTTCTATTGCAATGCAAAAATAAATAAATTACAATTAATACCAGGCTCCGCCATTAATTTTGATGTGGTCTTAGTGAGATCCCAGAACTCGTTGAGAGGGTGTTTGGATCCAAGGGACTATTTTTAGTCTGACTAAAAATAGTCTCTTTTAGAGGCTAAAGTTCCAAGCACCCCTGACTAAAGAGAGGCTAGGACTAGTCTTGAGGCTAAAAACTTTTAGTCATAGGAAACCTACTAAAATATGTATTAGCCCTCTCTCTCCTCATTTAATTCCTCTACTTTAACACATGCGAGTTCTGGATTGGATGGTTTGGAGGATAATAAATGCTCAATAATTTAATTTTAGTCTCTTTAGTATTTGGATCCAAGCATGGGTGAGGCTAGCAAGTTTTAGTCCCACTACTTTTAGTCATGGGACTAAAACGTATCCAAGCACTCTCTGAATAAATAAAGTGCTTGATGGCTTTAAGAAAAATCTCTAATCTAATAATAATCTAAAAAAAAATAACACGGAGGATCAAGTCGAAAGCAGTAAGCGAGCCAGAGAGAGAAGGAGGGGAGGGGAAATTCACCTCAACGCCGAAGTCCCCGTTGTCGGAGACGTTGTGGGATCCCTGGCCCTCGGCGAGGAAATCCCCCGCCCCCACGCCGCCGGCGCGGTACATCACCTCCCGCTCGCGGGCGTCGAGGTCCGCCGCGATCTCCAGGAGGTCCCCCTCGCTGAAGAACGGCCCCTGCAGCGCCGCGTTGAGGGCATGGAGCCCGCAGAGCTGCCGCACCTGCAGCTCGTGGTACAGCATGCCGGAATTCCCCGTCTTGGCCTCCATTGCCCCGGCCCTCCTTCAGAAGAACTCCGGCGGCTCCCTCCCCGATTTGACAGTGTGCGAAGAGCGCTCCGGCCATTGGGCTGATTTATAGCCGGCAGCAAGGGAAAAGCGGCGCTACAAGACAATCTAGGATTAATCGCGGATTGCAAAAGTGAATGAGCACAATTTATTGACGGGAATGAGGGGGCGAGGGTTACCTGCGCGGCGCTGGGGTCGTGGTCCTGGCGGAGGCGCGCGGCCGTTAGGGGTGGGAGGAGGCTGCGCCGCGAGCGTCCGCCACAGCTTGTTCCGGCGCGAGCGCCCCTGCCCACGTGTCGTCGGAGCCACGGAGGCGCCATTGGAGCCGCTGGAAGGCCTGAAACGCTATCTGCAGCTCGTCTCCGGGAAGAAGACGACCGAACCGTTTTTTCTGGCCTTCGTCGTTTTCTTCTGCTTTCTAGCCGGCGTTGCTACTGCCAGTGGCGACCCTATCTGTTTCTTTTTTTTCCCTAAAAAAATCTGCTCTTTTTGACAATTTCCTTTTCCTTTTGACATTGGCGACACCATTTCTTCTTTGTTAAGGTCGTGCAGTAAGATGTCGGATGATTGGCGTAATGACTCTACAGTGTGATGCATTGGGCGAGAAATATTCAAAGCATTTGATCTTAGAGACGTGAAGAAATATTTACAAGCCAATAGAACACGTCGAAGTTCGAATGCAACTTCTATATCATTTATTTCATTTTGGTTATGAATTTGTTGACTTAATTTATTTTTTCCAACATGTTAGAGAACATTGTTTTCTATGTCATGACATATATATGTTGAAGCCTAGGTCGGGTTAGGATCGAATTAGACGGGGCATTGAGTTTTAATGGGCATTCAACGTAGAAGCCCATAATGACCTTGTAAGGAGAAGAGCGGACATTTTAGGGTTAGTCAATACTCCTCCCATGTCCAAAGTTGCCGGCTTAGATTTGATAGTCCAGACGAGCAACGTTTCCTTTCTCGACATGCGAATATGTTCAATATACATTTGACAAGTCATTGAACCATATAGACAAGGTAGTATGTCTAAAGTTGCACCAACGTGCTACATCAACTCTAGTACTCTACTTCTACTACGAGTTTGCACGTCTAGTGGTAATCTTGTAATCTAAGATTACATCATTTCCTGATTTCATTTACTTGCACTATTATAACCTACCTCATATCCCCATATAATTTCCCTAGCCCTCGTTGAATACACACCTTTAGGTGAGAACTCACCACACATACATCGCTGCAACATCAGAGTCATCATTATGCTCGAGGCACATCTAGCTCGTCCCTAGGGGCGAGGGGGCGGCTGCCTCATGCCCATAAAATTGAAGGGAGCACAACCAGAGTGAATGCAAGCATGGAGCATCCCGCCCCCAACCATTAGATATGTGTGTTCACGAAGGAGGAAGTTGGAACGTTATTCTTCAGCTATGTGGGCCATGTGTCTTCTTTTGTTTAGCATTGGATGGTCAAGTAGCGGTGGGCCACATCAAGCTGGGCAGGAAGTGCACTAATTCAACTATAATTAGGATTCTACTAGAAACATGAATTAGCAGGTTTTTTGGAAGATGAAATTAGCTATCAATATGGATTCTCGCGTGCTTGTCAACTGCAGCGGTGCTAAACCCTAGCAAACTAATACCCTAAAAGGAAAAGTGAAAAGGCTAACTGAGCTGGGAGTGGCTCACACGAAAGACGACAAGTTGGTGCCGCAACAATAACTAAGAAAATCGTACATTCACTTCTTTGTATCAATACTAATAAATGTATTTCTCAAAGATTGATTCCTTGTTGTAAATTGATGGTGCATAGTTCCACCAGCTTTATTTAGTGATGTACATTTTTTGAAAACCTATCTTTGGTCTTAATATGTTTGGTTGGCCCGATTGTTTTCTCCATACTAAAAACTTAGTTCACCCTCTACCACCCGTGCGAGCACAGCTTAGCTCGATGGTAAAATGCAATTTATTTTGATCTCGTGTGTGATCGCCCCCTGTTTGGTTACATAGGACCAATGCTTGATCCCTCGTGCGCCCTAGCCATAACCACCTCTTGTTCTTCGCCGGGAGCCCTAATCTGGAGTCCTTTCATGGCTCCGGAGAGAGAGAGAGAGAGAGAGAGAGAGAGAGAGAGAGAGAGAGAGAGAGAGAGAGAGAGAGAGAGAGAGAGAAGAATCACCATCGTTGTAATCACCAACCCTTCTCCATCAACACTTTCATGATGCTCACAATTATTTGCGAGTAATCTCCTTGTAGGCATACTGGAGGTAGATGGGATTGGATGAGATTTCATATGTAATCGTTGTCAATTTGTTAGGGCTTGATCCCTAATATCCACCATGTTCCAACAAGATTGATATTGTTATGACTTTGCTATGATTAATACTTGACACTAGGGCCTGAGTGTCATGATTTCATATCTGAACCTATTATGTTTCCATGAATATATTTGAGTTCTTTTGATCATATCTACAAGTTGTATGCACCTGTTATTGTTCTAAACCCTAGATCTCAAGGTGACAATAATTGGGATACTCTAAGGGGATGACTGTAATTTGAGGAGTTCATATATTCACTATGTGTTAATGTTTTATTTTGGTTCTCTATTAAAAGGAGTGCCTTAATTAGCATTCATTTCCATTAGGACCCCGCTGCCATGGGAGGGTAGGACAAACGATGTTATGTAAGTTCTTATCGTAAGCAAGTATGACTACATACGAAATACATGCCTACACATGATTGATGAATTAGAGCTAGTTTTGTATCGCTCTAGGTTGTGACTATTGTATACTGAATCTCATCTGAACATCCCATCACAACTCCATGTACGTTTTTCTGCTATTGCCTTTGCTAAAGTTACTACTGCTCTACTTGTTACTACTGCTGCTACTGTTACTGCTACTATGTTATCACTACTATCATATTATCGTGCTAGTAATAAATTGCTGCAAGAAAGTGATTTCTCAGGTGTGGTTGAATTGACAACTCAACTGTCGAGGCTTGTAAATATTCTTCGGCACCCCTTATGTTGAATCAGCAATGGGTGAAATACTACCCTCGAAGACTATTGTGATCCCCTATACTTGTGGATTATTAGGACCCATATCCTAATTTTCCCCGGGCCCTGAAATCTTAGGATCGGACCCGAGAACAATCTACATTGACTTTGTCATGTCCAACCTAGACAACGAGTTCTTATCTAAGGAGTTCCAGAAGGATGATGCTTTTTTGCTACAAGGAGTCATGTACTCCCAATTCATTCCCAGCCCCTATAGGTCCATATTTGCAATTCATGCACTTAATAGGCATAAGCTATGGTAATTACCATTGCCAATACCATATTTGAGTCAAAATCAATGATCTCGGATGATGTCCTAGCCGAGGTCTTCTAGCTGGAGAGGAATATCATGGATCGGCTCCAATGATATCTTGTCATACTCCTCATCATCATAGTCATCACTCCCATCACAGTAACCATGCATGTTACCAATGTCACCATTTTCTTGATCACCTACATCATCATTCTCATTAGTTGCACGCGCATGACATTGTTTAAGAGAATGGTTACGAATAGTTTTGGTGATAATATTAACAATGGTGATAGGATTTCCTTTAGAACGAATAAGATCTCTAAGCTCAAATAAGCACTTATAAAAGTATAAACACATTCAAAGTTTTGCATGATATGGACAACAAAATTAGGAAGGCCTCTAACAATAAGAATTATGGTTCTTAAACTATGAAGCATATGTCAGGTTCTTCCTTAGGGGTTGGGTGCAAGTGATTAACCAGGGGGCATAAGTACGATGGATATACTCACTCAAGTTGAAACCATCAAATATATCAAGCATTTCATCTTTCCAAAAGTTAAAGTACTCTTCATTGAGAATAGGAACTCTACAACCAAGACTCCTCAAAGTAGACAAATACATCCTTCTCTGTGGTGGTAAAGCCAAAGCAATGGATACCAAAACTATGATACCCCTTGTAGGATTGAAAGGGGGTGTCTAGAGGGAGGTGACTAGACACTAGAAAAGCTTAATTATCATTTTTAATGTTTCTTGATTCTTTGGCAGATCTTGACACAAGCTAGATAACAACAAGTACACCCTACACATGCATATCTAGAGTATGGGCAACGAAAAATAGCAATCATGCAAGTGAAAGTAAAATAGGGAGAAGAGTTTGAAGGATTTGCAAAAAAGGTTGACACAAATGATTTTTGAGTTGTGGTTTCGATAGGTGGTGCTATTGTATGCCCATGTTTATTGAGGATTCAATCTAAAGGATCAATGATCTCAAGGATAATGGTTGTGATATTACACAGAGGAATTGAGTCCACGTAAGGCTCCACCCACAAAGGGTCCACGAAAAAGCAACCTTGCCTATCCCACCATGGCTTACACCCACAAAGGACTAGCCTCACTCGGGATAGATCTTCACAAATGAAGTAGGTGATCTCCTTACCCTTACAATCTTATTGGTTTCTCCACATGATTTGTAGACTCCCAAGCACACCTAGCCAATCTAGGAGGCACAACCCTCGAAAAGGTAATAGGTGGGGTTGTTGATGATGAACTCCTTGCTCTCGTGCTTCGAAAGAAATCTCCTCAACATTGAAACACTCTTTCACAAATTTTGTCTTTAGGTTAGGGGAGGGTTTGGGTGGAAAGTAATGAGGTGACTAAAAATCAACGGTTATATGGTTGGAGTGGAATCATTTTGATCTCAACACAAGGATCGGGAGCTCTCTCTCTCAGAAATATGGATATGAATGTGTATGCTTCACTCTGGTTGTTCTCTGAGAGTTCGGTGGAGTGGGTGGGGGTATATATAGACATCACCAAATATCCAATCATTGCACACCTTTATGCACTACCTGGTGAGACCGATCGGTACAAAATGTTTAAATTTTAGGCGTTTCGGTGAGACCGGGTGAAAACGTCGATGGCTCCGAGTTGTGATGACCTAATCACTTTA